CTCATACCCGCGGGCTCAGGCAATCCACTCACCTCAGCCTCCCAAAGGCGCGGGATTACAGGCTGAGCCACTGAGCCTGGCTTGCAATGCTGTTTTAATCTCCTAACTGATTAAAAAACTAGCTGCATAAAACAATTATTATAAATCTGTTGAGAGAAACAAAAATGTATAAAGATGCAACTTGTATGACAACAGCAGCACAAAGTAAGAAGGAGGGAATGAAGCTATATGAGAAAAATTTTCATATATTATTGGATTAAGGAGGTTTCATTCAAAAGTAGGTTGAAGCCGGGCTTGGTGGCTCAGCCTGTAATACTACGCCTTTGGGAGGCTGAGGTGAGTGGATTGCCTGAGCCCGTGGGTTCGAGACCTGCCTGAGCAACTTGGTGAGTCCTCATCTCTACAATAAATCAAAATGACCCGGGCATGGTAGCAGGTGCCTGTAGTTCCAGCTACTTGGAAGGCTGAGGTGGAAGGATCGCCGGAGCCCAGCAGGCCGAGGCTGCAGTGGCTGGAAGCGACCACTGCACTCCAGTCTGGGCGACAGAGTGAGACTCCAACTCAAAAAAAAAAAAAGTAGGTTGGTATCAATTAAGATGTTAATCATAGCCAGGCTCGATGGCTCAGCCTGTAATCCTGCGCTTTGGGAGGCTGAGGTGAGTGGATTGCCTGAGCCCGCGAGTTCGAGACCCGCCTGGGCAACTTGGCGAGGGCTCATCTCTACAATAAATCAAAAAATTAGCCAGGCGTGGTAGTGCGTGCCTGTAGTTCCGGCTACTTGGAAGGCTGAGGTGGAAGGATTGCCGGAACCCAGCAGGTTAAGGCTGCGGCGGCTGGGAGCGTGACACTGCACTCCAGTCTGGGTGACCAAGTGAGACTCCAACTCAAAAAAAAAAAAAAAATCTACAGTCAATATCGTGCTTAAAAACTGAAAGCTTTCCCTCTAAGGTCAGGAACAAGTTAAGGATGTTCCCCCTGACTATTACCACTTCAATTCAACATTGTACAGGAGGTTCTAACCAGTGAAGGGAAAAAAAAAACAAGTAAAGCTATCTTTTTTTTGCAGGTAATATGATGACATCATCTTGTGTATAGAAAATACTAAAGAATATATACACACAGACACACACATGCTTTACTAGATCTAATAAGCAAGTCCCTCAACGTTTTCATATACAA